CTGATTGGAATTACTAATTTTATTATCAAACATGTATAATTAATTTTCAATCTCTTGATATATGTAGCTCCTAATTTACTTGAAGATTGAATTAAAAAAGTTGTAACCTCGTCTTCAAATATTTTGTAATGACATTTTTCTTGGCTTGATTTCACCATCTTCCTATACGTTCCCACTGAGAGGCTCGGAGCCTACCCTAAGTTACCCAGTCACCCCGGCCTAAGTCAAACACGCTGGCCCAGTGCGGGTCTACATCTTACTCTTACTAATATTATAAATGCGAATGTTTGGATGGAAGTATGTTTGTTTGAAGGTATCTCCAGGACGATTATATGAAACTCGCTGAATTTTGACATAGATGTAGAACATAATCTGGAAGAACACATAGGCTACTAATTATTTATATTTAATATTAAACTACGTTAAATATATTAAAATAATATAAATTAGCTTTAAATGTGTGGAACCAATTTTTTTTCATATTTAAACATGGGTTTCCTAGAGAAAGTTGCTTGTAATCATTAGTAACCTGTTAATATTTTAATTCTGCGCAGACGGAGTCGCAGGCAAAAGCTAGTTATTTTCTTAATCAGTGGTGTAATCTAAACCTTATGAATTTTCGTTTCTATTATTCGTTACACATTACGGTCTCGAAAATTTCATCGACACTTCCTCGCAATTTGTGGCAAAATCAGTGGCCAGTAATAATTAATTTCTTTTATTTTTAATTAAATATTAGCAGATTATTTCCATGCCATTACATATAAGCTCTAGGCTTGTAATAGGTTATGGTCTGCGACAATATTCGATTGGCGAGAATCAAACTCTCGACTATATGATCGAAAATCTATACCCTTATCCTTATCGATTAGGGCATTAGCGCAAACGAATTATAAGTATTCGTATTTTTGTTATATCATTTTAAAAATGTTACACGAGCTTCCTTATACGTTATTTTATTTCCGATATAATTTTACATACGAAAAATGATGATTTATTTATTACAGAATATTTAAAATTAAATTATGACTATAACTGGCACATATCAGATAAAATAAATTCTTGCATTACTTGCAAATAAATTTATCACAATTGCATCAGATTTTGTAGACGTCTCTCACATTAATTTCGACATAATTGACGATGACTTCACGAAGGCTATAGAGCGTACTTGGTTCGAGGATTAAGCACTTAATCGCGTCATATACAATGAGTTTTTCGATTGACATATGCTCATTTATCCGATGTTCTTACGGTGAAGGAAATTTCATTTAAGGAGATTCAAAGATATATATGAAGTTAACCCGCACTGGGCCAGCGTGGTTGACTATATCCTAGACACCCCTAACTCGACGTAGAGAGCTGATGATGATGATAAGATTTAATAGATGTACGTATAATTTATTTCGTGTTAACAATCTTAATCCTACAATAAAATAATTTGTTTTTTTGCATTTTCACGCCTCATTTTATCATTAATTCGATAATGATATCACGACTTCTTTTATAAATATTTTTAAGACTTTTTAATTTTTGTAGTTACAACTGAAGTTATGTAATTCCAAATAATCTTTAAAACTACAAACAAAATAACCAGAGAAAGTATTAACACAGAAGCTAAAGTAAATACAAGTTCTAATTCTAAATATTGTGTCCAGGAAATGTTTGCGGCCGGGCTCCTCAAGTGCCGCGCGTCACGGTGACGCAGCACATGCTCTGTCCACCACACGGCGCGCTCCAGTGGACTCTGCGGCTGGTCCTGCATTATACTGCGCAGACGCAGTATGTTCTCACGATAACTGGAAAACACATAAGTACATATAAATAGATCTAAAAAGAATATTTGATATCACTATAATTTTATCATTTTCAATGCAACCAGGAACTTTAACTGAGAACCTTTTTGGCAGCAATCCTGTAATTAAATTACATTTAGATCCATTTTCTATTAAACGATGAGCCGTATACGACTACTCGTGTTTGTACTTCCTAAATAAAGCCACATGCAGAGTCGCGCAGCCAGCTGCTAAAGTCATCAAAACATATAGCTTTATATCAATTTGTAAAGTTTTGATAGTTTAAACATTTGGTACCTCGTATCATTAATAACAGTGTGTATTGCGTTTTCAAACATTTCTTCTGTCAGGGCATCTATGTCAATTCTAACACCAATTTTATGTTGTTCATATCTCTCCACATTGAACCATTGGTCTGCGAGTAAAGGTATACCAACAAGAGGTACTCCTGATGTGATTGCTTCGTCTGTCGATTGCAATCCTCCTTGAGTTATGAATAATTTAACTTTTGGATGCCCTAAAATAAGAAATTATAAATGGTCGACAAAGAAATATGGCAAAAGAAGATTGTGTCTTTGCTTAGTGTCCTAAGTAAAAAAGCCAAAATTATTGACGGATAAGATATCATAAAGCAAAAATTAAGAGCGTCGGTAGCTCAAGTGTAAGCACTTAACTTATAATCTGCAGTAAAAGGGTTTGAATTCCGCTATGTACTAATGTGTTTTTCAATTTTCCATTTACGACTGTACATTTATCCGACGGTCTTACGGTTAAAAAAGCATCTTGATACTGCACATATCCGCGAAGAAATTCAAAGATAAGTGTAAAGTCAACCAACTAGAACTAGGCGAGGGTGGTAGATTACGGCCTAGTCACCCCTGACTTTGGTAAACTCCAAACCCCTTAGTGGGGACGTATAGTTAGCTGATGATGATATCATCAATTGTCACAGCAAATTCAACTTTATAATAAAATAGAATAAATTATATTTTAGATAAATTAGCGGAAGTGATGAATCAGTAGCAATACTTACTTAGTATGTCAGATTGTGGAAGCCATTTAGATATTTTTATATTGTTTGAACGACTTGGCAGTTCATCATCCCATTTCCAAAGAACATCATACGGCAATCTTGAAAACACATTTATGATAGCTTGCAACTTTTCTGGAGGCACGTAGGACGGTTTAACGTTAGTGCCCAAACTAAAGTAAATAACTCCGTGCTTAGAAGAATCGAGGTATAATTTTAGATCCTGTAAAAATATTATAATTTTATCTTAACAGCTACAATTGGTCACATTTTAAAAAGCCATTTAAATTGATCCAAATTTATTCCTTATAATTTATCAGTATTGCTTTAACGAGAATACAATTAAGAGGTAAAAAAACCCATACCTTCGGTAATTCTTTAATCGGATTCTGGTGTAAACCACCCATGTAAATCACACTTGGAGGAACGGGACGATTACTATCCCAAATAGGATGCAAATTTAAAAACATCATTGCCACGTTGTCAAATAATTTCTGAACAGGCGGAGTGTCCTCACCAAATAGTTTCTTCAAAAATTTATTCATGTTCTCATAATTTGTATCGAAATTTTTCATTTTATATTCTATTTTTAACTGAATAATTTTTTCCCAAGTTGTTAAATTGTTCAATCTATCTCTTACCATACTCGGATATAATAATGGATGTGTTGGTGCTCCCATAGTATCGTAATTATCCCATACTCCGCCAAAAGAACTGATAAAAATGACTGGCGCTTTAAAAATATGTGAAAATCCTAAAGTACATGCTAACAAACTCTCAGCAAGTATCAAATCGAAATGATCTTCTTTATATGAAAACAGTTTTTGAATACTTTCAGATTTCACTTGTTCTTCAAAAATGTCTAAAGTTATATCCATCATTATTTTCACTTGTTTGGTGACGTCTCTTGAACCATCTTCCACTTTTGAAATAACTTCATTCCATCTTGAATATGATAAATCATGAACATCTATTTGAGTCAAGTTTTCAGGCACTTCATTTGGATGTACAGGGTCCGTCGTTATAACAGTAAGTTCATGACCACGTCTTGCCAATTCGTGTGTTAGGACACGAAAAACAACTTGGTGGCTGATCGATGGAGTCGGAAATACACCTAGTATTCGAGCACTTTCTATAAATGGTATACATAGTAAATATAAAAATAATAATTTTCGTAGCATAATACAAGCGATGACTAGCAACCGTCTAATAAAATACTTTATAAAACATATGTTATATAGTAAATTATAAAAAATGAACTAGCAATGACTGGTAAGTTTTAAATATCATATACAAGATTACATCCGTATTTAAATATTAACATATTTTCTTATCATATGTATAATTATATAATGATGCTTATAATTATGCCAAGTCATGATTGCCCTATATTTTTTTTGAAATTAAAGCTTTTTTGCTTCATAAAATTTACGTCAGCCGCATTAATTGCGGGACAAATGACCGGTGTAATACAACCACACAGAAGACAATCGTAAATTAGAAGTAAATATGCATTCGTCAGAAGAGTTTGGCAACAAATTTAAGTAAAGAAAAAAAACAATAGAAAGGTAAAGAGATTTATGAAGGAGAGGAGACGCATACGAAGGGGAAATTTAACAGTGGTAGAGCCCGCTTTAACTTCTTCGTACGTATTGGCCCGGCTCGCCCGGTGAAATACCACGACTACACAGAAGACAGTCGTGAAGTGGAAGCAATTCCGCGTTTCGTCTGATGAGTGTGCGTCCCGGAGGCCTAATTTAGTCCTCTTTCCTTTCCTACCCTTTTTCTTTAATAAGGAAAGGATGGGAAGTGGAAGTGGACATTCCGGATGAGAGGATGCATGGAAAGGGAAAATGTTTTCTTTCTGTGCATCCTCTCCTCCGTCAATTAAAGGTAGGCATCGCATATGCAATTGCGTATGTCTATGGGCAACGGTCACGTCGCTAGTTCAGCGTTTTCAGATGGCCGCTCGCTCGTTTGCCACCTTATGATATAAAAAAAATGTCTTTTTGTACGTAGAGGAGGAGCTTTCGCCAATTAAAGGTATAGTAGGTCTGTAGGCAGAGGTCAACTCACTTCTTATCGTATTGAGGTGACAGCTTCCACATTCTCCATCATATACTATGAAAAACTATAACTAAGGAACTGGTAAATAAAAACAAACCATTCTGGGCTTTCTTTGTTCAAATTTATGCCAAGAATTTAATTCAACACTCCATAAATTATCAGCAACATCATAATTAAGAATTAATTAAGAATTTCCTAGCTAAGATTCCTCGCATGAAAAGATTTGTATGTACCGAAAAAAATATTGAATGAAAGTATATTAGCTTTTGCTATAGCTAAGAACAACTACTCCTACATATATAGGTAAATCTTTTTATTTGATAATTAAACATTATTATACTTAGCACTTTTTAATTTTTTTACTTATATTGGAATTTACAAAATTCCAAACTAACTTAAAGACTGTAAACAGAATAACTAGTGAAAGTATTAACACAGAAGCTAAAGTAAATACAAGTTCTAATTCTAAATATTGTGTCCAGGAAATGTTTGCGGCCGGGCTCCTCAAGTGCCGCGCGTCACGGTGACGCAGCACATGCTCTGTCCACCACACGGCGCGCTCCAGTGGACTCTGCGGCTGATCTTGCATTATACTGCGCAAACGCAGTATGTTCTCACGATAGCTGAAAAACACGTAAGTATTTAGATATTAAGTTAATCTTCTTGTAATATTGGATGTAACTTTAATTTTAGCAATCTGTGAACTTTATTGAACATTAATCTTTGCAAAAATAATGTAGTAAATCATATTTAGAGGTAATTTCCAATTGGAGATATTTCCGTCCGATGTCCACTGACGCGGATGCGACTAAGAATGATGGCCACTCGACACCTGAACGGCGCTAGTAACTGCTTCGTGGATTACATATTAAAATTTAAAGCTTTATAAGAATTTATAATGTTTTACCTTGTGTCATTGATAACAGTCCGTATTGCATTTTCAAACATTTCTTCTGTCAGTGTATCTATGTCGATTCTAACACCAATTTTATGTTGTACATATTTGTCGACATTGAACCATTGGTCTGCGAGTAAAGGTATACCAACAAGAGGTACTCCTGCTGTGATTGCTTCGTCAGTTGATTGCAAGCCTCCTTGAGTTATGAATAATTTCACTTTTGGATGCCCTGAAAAATTAAAGTTTATCACTGTGAATCCAACTGTAGGGAAATGTGCCTATTTCTAGATATGTATAATAGTAAAGGACTGAATAGTTTTTGACAGTTTGCTAGTTGTCAGATGTTATAGAGGAGTTGTGAGGGGTTAAGGCACTTTGACTTATAATCTGCAGGTCCTTCGAATCCCGCCATGTACTAATATGTTTTTCAATTTACATATGTACATACATCTATCCGACGTTCTTATGGTGAAGAAAAACATCGTGATGCAATCTGCATATAACTGCTGAGAAATTCAAAGATATGTGTGAAGTCAACCCGCACTGGGCCAGTGTAGTTGACTATGGCCTAGTCACCCCTAACTTAGGGTAGGCTTCAAGCTCGTCAGTGTGGACGTATAGGCAAGGAAAATCCAACTTCACAATATAGTAGAATAAACTATTTTTTAGATAAATGACCAATACTTACTTAGTATGTCAGATTGTGGAAGCCATTTGGATATTTTTATATTATTTGAACGTACCAGCAGCTCATTGTCCCATTTCCAAAGAACTTCATACGGCAACCTTGAAAATACGTTTATGATAGCTTGCAACTTTTCTGGAGGCACGTATGACGGTTTCACGTTTGTGCCCAAACTAAAGTAAATAACTCCGTTCTTAGAAGAGTCGAGATATAGTTTTAGATCCTGTAAAAAAAAATAAAGCAGTCAGCTCCGAGACATAAATATAAGTTACAAAAAGAACCCTCCTTCCCTAGTCTCTGTACTGCTACATTTATTTTTCAACGTATAAACCCACAAACCCATCCCACAACCTCATCGGTTCTTTCTTCCTTCTCCAGATCAGGAAATTGTACTGCTTTCGCGACCCTTTATCATTTCCGTAATTTCATACGAAACTGTAAGCTACCACAATGTTTGGATGGCACTAACTAATTTAGATTAATATTAGCTGTCGCCCGCGACGCCATCCACGTGGAATTATAAAAAAAAACTTATTTAGTAGCCTATGCGTTCTTCCAGACTATGTTCTACATCTATGCTAAATTTCAACGACGTCTTTGCAGCCGTTTTGAAGATACCCTCAAACAATCATCTATCCATTCATCCATAAACACTTATAATATTAGTAAGATTAAAAAGGCCATACCTTCGGTAATTCCCTTATCGGATTCTGGTGTAACCCACCCATGTAGATGACACCTGGTGGCACGGGACGATTGCTATCCCAAATAGGATGTACGTTTAAAAACAACATTGCCACATTGTCAAATAATTTCTGAATAGGCGGAGTATCCTCACCAAATAATTTCTTCAATAATTTATTCACGGCCACGTTATTTCTATTTAAATTTCTCATCTTATATTCTTTTCTTAGTTGATTAATTTTTTCCCACATTGTTATATTATTTAATTTATCTCTTACCGAAACTGGATATAAAAATGGATGTGACGGTGCTCCTATAGCTTCGTAGTTATCCCATACTCCAGCAAAAGAACTGACCCATATTACAGGTGCTTTAAAAACATGCGAAAATCCCAATGTGAATAATAAAAAAGCTTCGACAATTATCAAATCGAAGTGATCATGTTTATAGGACAATAACTTTTGTACACTTTTACATTTAACTTGTTCTTCGAATATTTCAAAATTTAAATTCATCATTGCTTCCACTTGTTTAGTGACGTCTCTTGAACCATCTTCCATTTCTGATATAACTTTATTCCATCTTGAATATGATAAATCATGAACATCTATTTGAGTCAAGTTTTCAGGCACTTCATTTGGATGTACAGGGTCCGTCGTTATAACAGTAAGTTCATGACCACGTCTTGCCAATTCATGTGTTAGAACACGAAAAACAACTTGGTGACTGATTGATGGAGTCGGAAATACACCCAATATTCGAGCACTTTCTATAAATTGCAAACATAGTAAATATAATAATATTAATCGTAGTATCATCGTTTTGAACAAGCGATGTCTCCGGACTGTCTAAATATTAAGTACTTTAAACATAAAGATAAAAATTGTAAAACTAATCAGCTAATCACTATGACTAGCTACTTTTTTATATATTGTTTTTAATATACGCTTGAAGGTCAATTTATCTTAGCATTATTATAATTCTTATATTATTCTTCTTCTTATTATTATTATTAATACTGTTTCGGGTCAGTCTAAACAAAATTCTTAAATAAAAAGTTGTAAAAAGCAATTTTTGTACAAGCAGTAATAATTAATACTAGTTGTCGCCTATTTGGAATTCGACAATAATTAATTACCAAACATTTTGTTTATTGATATAGATTAGAAATTCTGTAACGCAAACTCAAAACTGGTCTTTTCATTTCCAAGACTTTATAATCTTACTAATATTGTAATGCATGGATGGATGTTTGTCAGAATGTATCTCCAGCATTGCTGCATGGATGTCGCTGAAATTTGGCATATATGTACGAGTAGAGAAGAAGAATACATAGGCCACTAGTTAATTTTTCCTTAAATCGCGCGTACGAAGTCGCGGGCGCCAGCTAGTAGTATAAATGGATTTTTTTGACATTTCACAAATTTTGTTGCGAAAAAATTGCGTAGCGTGATTGGGACGTTTTTTATCAATTTATTTATAGTAGTTGATATATTTCGAAAAGATGATGTCAACATTGTAATAAACTAGCCATAGTCCGCGACTTCAGCGCAGAATTAAAAAGTAGCCCATAATATTCTCGCGTGATACAGTTAAATCTTGTCCCACCGTCTAATATAACCTTGTAGATAGACAGACAAACAAAAATTTAACAATATTTGGTTTTTCGTTATCAGCAACGCAAATACGTCGTGTGTACGAAATATGATTTGTTTTTGACATTACATAGAGACACTCCGATTTTATTAATATGATAGATATTTTTATTTAGATACGCTAAGTCATTAAATGGATATCAAGAGGGATAACGAAACGATTTATGATTATCATTTTAAAAATTCTGCATTGTAATGAAATCATAAGTCTATACAGATTATACAGTAGTCTATACAGTTTCACTTTATATTAAACAATAATTAATAAATAATAAATATGAAGTTACATTTGCGTTATGAGATTCTTTTAGTTTTCTTGTGACAGTCTCTGGAATAGTAACCGGGAGCGAGAGTTTAGACTACGAATAATATTAAAATGAGAACAGGAGCAAAGTCTTCGATTTGTATAATATATATTTTAGTGACCACAAAATATTTACCAGCAATTGATTTGGCAGGTGTCACTGTCATGTAAAATATCGCGAATATTATATATTCTTGATTCTAACGCGAGGTTTTAAAATAAATCATACATTATAAATTAATAATGTTATAAAGTTTACTTGTTAAATTAAAAAACATGGTAAAAAAGGTCTAAATTGTTTTCAACCTTTTAGTTTAGGTTTTGTACTTTTTGCCATTTTAAAACTGAAAGGAAAGCTGTAATTGGTCGAAACTCTGTCAAAACTTTGAATCGTCCAATCCAAGTGCTCTATACTCGTTAAATGTTATCATAAAGAACGTAGGAAATCAAAATCACAAACGTCAAACTCAAAACTGTGAAACAACAAAGAGGCTTTCCCTGAACTTACTCCGCCTCCGCCTTAGTTGTGCGCTAATAAAATTATAATTATAATTTAAGATGTCGGAAAATGAGCTCCATAATGCGTAAGAAGACACAAGTGTCGTTTGTGATTAGGGACGAAGAGGAGAGGCGGCATAAAAATGGTGTTAGCTCGCTTCAATTGGACCCGATTCAGGGCAGATTGTACTCAGCCGGTCGGGATGGTATTATACGCGTCTGGCATACAGGTACAGGCACCCAAGATAGATATATCCAAAGTATGGAGCATCACACAGATTGGGTGAACGATATAGTGCTTTGTTGCGGCGGTAAAAATCTTATAAGCGCTTCGTCAGATACGACTGTCAAAGTGTGGAATGCACCGAAAGGTTTCTGTATGTCGACATTACGTACTCATAAGGATTATGTACGTACACTAGCGTATGCAAAGGATAAAGAACAGGTAGCGAGTGCTGGTCTCGACCGAGCTATTTTTCTCTGGGACGTAAATACTTTAACGGCACTAACTGCCAGCAATAATACAGTAACTACATCTAGTCTCGTTGGTAACAAAGAGTCCATATATAGCCTTGCTATGAACCCACCAGGAACAATACTTGTGAGTGGATCAACTGAGAAAGTATTAAGAGTGTGGGATCCTAGAAATTGTTCTAGATTAATGAAGTTAAAAGGTCATGCTGATAATGTAAAAGCTTTAGTTGTGAGTCGTGATGGATTGCAATGTGTCTCTGGTAGTTCGGATGGCACAATAAAGCTGTGGTCTTTATCTCAGCAAAGGTGTGTGTCCACTATAAGAGTCCACTCTGAAGCTGTATGGGCTCTACTAGCTACGGAAACATTTTCACATATTATTTCCGGTGGACGTGATAGATTAGTTATAATAACAGAATTAAAAAATCCTGACAACTTTATGATTGTATGTGAAGAGACTGCGCCTATACTAAAAATGTGTTTCACCGCTGACCAGCTAGGTGTTTGGGTGTCTACATCAGATTCTGATATAAGATGTTGGAAACTACCACCACATAACTCTTTATCCGATATGTATAACCAGAATAGTTACAATACAAATAATGTGTATCAAACTCAACCTATATATCATATACCTGGTGGCCGGGCCATAAAACACTACACAGTATTAAATGATAAAAGACATATTTTAACTAAAGACACTGCCAATCATGTTATGCTCTATGATGTCTTAAAAGCTAGCAAACTCGAAGATTTAGGTGAAATAGATTACGATGAAGAGGTTAAAAAACGTTTCAAAATGGTGTATGTTCCTAATTGGTTCAATGTTGATTTGAAGACAGGTATGTTAACAATACACCTAGGACAAGATGAGACGGACTGCTTGAGTGCTTGGGTTAGTGCGAAAGAGGCTGGATTAACAACAGAGAATGATCAAAAGGTTAACTTTGGTGCATTATTGTTGCAAGCATTGTTGGAACATTGGAATCATCCGAACAGGGCCAATGAGGGTGGTCAAAAGGTTGTTGGTAATAATTTCTTTGGTGTTCCATTGCATACACCATTAATATTCAGTGAAGTTGGTGGCCGAACACTGTATAGATTACAGGTAAATAATATTTTATTTTATGTATGATTTTACTTAGTGTCCATTTATACATGTTGTGTGGTCTGAAACATACCTAGTCTGTTATATATTTTATAATTTCTTATGTTGTAAATTTATAATTAAAAGTCAATTTAGTAGGTTAAAAATCTTAAATTGATTTACTTAAGTTGTTATAAGTAGCATTTGAAATATATTATTAGAAACCCAGATTTTAGATGCAGATTTTACAAAGTCTAATTTCTACTTTGTAAATTCTGGAAATATTTCAGCTTTTATTTAATTATGTTTTATTAAATTAATAATGCAACTAAACTTTATTTAATGTTGACTCTACATAGCGTTTTATAAATACAATTTGGAGAATACTATATAAAATAGTCAAACCGAGATAAGCAAGAGTCTGGTCCCGATGGACAACCTCCAGAAGCGAGAAACTTGGGTTAGTGAGAAACCTCTATAAGTGAGAAAATTTTCACAGTCCCTTGAGCTCTCGCTTATCCAAGTCTGACTGTATTGTTTAAAAAATTCGAACTTATTATATTAACCCATGTGATGAAAAAGTTGCATCTCAATGATATGAATATTATTTCAGGTTGGTGATGCAGGCGGGGAAACAGAAGGCAATTTGTTAATGGAAACCGTACCATCTTGGGTTGTGGATGTTGCCGTAGAAATGGCCGCTCCTAAGCTTAACAAATTGCCATTTTATCTGTTGTCACATTCCAGTTGTCAGAGCAAACAAGATAGACAGAAAAAGGTATGACTTACAGTGGGTTTCTTAGATCAGAATCCCCGTTTGAAATATATTGATATATCTGTTTTGCCAAAGATAATTGGGATCATATGTTTTTAACGGGGATTCTGGTCTTAGAAACCCACAGTTAGTGTTTTTTGCCATGAAGGATACCACAAAATACTATTAGTGATATTTAATTATTGTTCATACTATAAGATGGCAAGCTGCCACCGATATTTGCCTATACTATGCTAATATTATGAATGACAATGTTTAGATGGATGGATTTTTGTTTGAAGGTTCAGAACGGCTGATGGATCTCGCTGAAATTTGGCATTAATGTAGAACATACTCTGGCAGAACACATAGACTACTAATTGAGTTTTTTTTTACATTCCGCGTGGATGGAGTCGCGGGCGGCAGCTAGTAATACTATAATTTATTTATCTAATAGAAGCCACTGAAATGCTAACATAACTAATCGCATCGTAATTCCAAGGATAATTTTTATGCACATTCCACGACAGAGTGTAATTTTGCAAATTTGCGCATACTAGCAGTGGCCCGCGACTCCGTTCGTGCAAAATTTAAAAAAATCATAAATTAGTAGCCTATTTGTTCTTCCATACTATGTTGTATATACAACATTTTATCAAGATCCGTAAAGCCGTCATAGAGATACTTTCTAACAAACATCCACCCATCCATACATCTAAACATTCAAATTTATAGTAACAGTAAGAGTAAGACTAGTTTTGCCCGCTACTCTGTACATGAGGAATTAAAAAAACTTAATTAGTAGCCAATTTTCTTCCAGACTATGTTCTATATCTATACCAAATTTTAGTGAGATTCATGCAGCCATTCGAAAGATACCTTCTAACAAACATCCATCCATGTAAACTTCGGCGTTTATAACCATATACATTTATTTATCATATTTTTAATATAGTACATTTCATATCCAAAAAAAAATAAACAAAACATATTACATTAAAAACAGAACACCACCGACTGCAGAATCCCATGACTCAAACAACCAGTGGTCAGGGCTGCAGAGACAGGAACCTTCTAACGATGCGCGCGGTTTCTAAGATAACTGCCTTTTGTATCGGGCCCTTAATCCAACTGTGTAGCGAGACCTAAGATTAAGATTCTGTTCTACATTGAAATTTCTTTTGTCTTCTTAATTATGTTATAAGTGTTGTAATGTCTTTAAATGAATTAAATATCTTATTATTTTCTGACAGGATCGTTTGGTAGCAAATGACTTCATCCAATGCCGGAAAGTGGCAGAACATGTGGTGGAGAAGATAGTGGGTGGTGGTGATGTGAATGGTGCCAGTGGCAGCAAACCAACTAATGAGGACAGTGGTAATGATCCACCTGAAGAGCGAGTTGAATTGCTGTGCTGTGATCAGGTAAGAAAATGGTATTAGTAGTCATTGTGACACCCAGGGACTGTAGGTTCTCAACAGTGAAGGAATTTTTTAAATCTGTTCAGTAGTTTTAAAGTAATTCAATAGAATCAAACTAATCAAAAGAAAAAAAAACTTAGTAGCCTATGTGTTCTTCCAGACTATATTCTATGTCTATGACAAATTTCATTTAGATCCGTTCAGCTGTTCTGGAGATAAATTATACCAAACATCTATCCATTCATCTATCCATATTTATAATACTAGCTGTCGCCCGTGACTGCGTTCATGCGGAATTAAAAAAAAACCTAGTAGTGTATGTGTTCTTACAGAGTATGTTCTATATGTATGCCAAATTTCATTCAGAACTGTTTAGTTGTTCTGGAGATATCTTCTAACATCCATTCATCCAAATTCATAATTCAGTAAGATATATTTTTATTGTCTTATGTTTTCAGGTTCTCGATCCAAATATGGACCTCAGGACAGTGCGCCACTTCATCTGGAAATCCAATGTTGAGTTCACATTACATTATAGAGTGTTGAAACAATGAAAGTCAACTTTATACTATCAGAGGGTCAACAGACATATAAAAAAGTGTTGCTCCTTCCAGACGCTATTCCAGTGATAAAGTGTTAAAAAAACAGTGTTATAAAAGGTGTTAAAAAAAAGTGATTAAAAAACAGTGGTTAAAATCGTATATACCTTTAGATGCTTCTAACTGTAAATAGCCTGACCAGGAACATTGTGAACTTTTTTTGGCAATACCAATTTAATAAAAAAAAATCGCCATGACATTGACATTTTCTTGTTGAATTGTCAAAAGTATGTATTGGTGAGTAATTTTTTAGTTCATTAACATTTTAAATTAATACCGAAATATTTTGAAACATCTATAAAATCATAAACACTTAGACTTCATCAGTTCACTATATGAACATGAGGGGCTCGAAGCATACCCTAATTTAGGGGTGATTAGGCCATAGTCAACGATGCTGGCCAAGTTATTATCTTCACATATATGTGCTTCACACGATGTATTCCTTCACCGTAATAACGTTGGATAAATGTACATATGTAAATCGAAAAAACAAATTGGTACATGGCGGGATTCGAACCCAGGACCTGCAGATTGCAAGTCAAGTGCTCAACCCCTGCTACTTAGACTTACAGTGTTGCAATATAAAATGCGATTAAGATGTCCTCTGATCAGATCTAGTTCCTGGTTTCTGGTCACACTATAACTTGCAATGAATAAAATTGTCTATGCCTTACACCTAATACAGTTAAATAATTAATTTAAGTATTTACCTAATATATTTAACTATAACTTTAATGTATATGTCTATTTGCATTTTTGTATGTTACACAATAGATGGGAACTTCACCTAATTGTCATATTGTCATCCATTTCATTGTCTTTGATAAAATAGAGAAATGTCAATAAAATTCACACACATTAATAGAAATAATAATCTGATATTTATGATTAACCAATTGATTTATGAGACCAAAATCTTCGTATGAAATATATCGTCCTCTGTCTGACAAACCAGACGTAATATATTCAAACGGAGATTTTGGTTTTAGAAACCCAAGGTAAATGTGTTAGTCAAAATATTAAATACATACAGTGGAAACTGGATAAGTGAGAGTTTAAGACATGATAATCTTGCTTATAAAGGTTTCTAACCATGGACATCGCTAGTTAGCTAGGATATATACAATACTAGCTTTTGCCCGCGACTTCGTCCGCATTGAATTAAAAAAACTTAGTAGCCTATGTGTTCTTCCAGATTAATACGGGGATCTTAATTGTAGCTCCTTTCTTCTAGACTTAGGCTAGATCTTAGGCTGGTGTTGGCCATGTTTCCAACCGAGGTTTCTCACTTATGGAGGTCTATCTAGACCAGATGATTCTCGCTTATAGAGGTTCTCGCTTATCCAGGTTGACTGTATATAAAATCTATAAGATGAAAGTCTTAATTTAGAATAGACTCATGATTTGTAGGTATAGAATTTGTGGATAAAATTAAACAAATTACATACATTTATCTGGCCCGATGAACAAAAGTTTAAATAATTTAGCCGTTATGTAATTTCTCTTGTTTTCTGACAGGACTAACCACAATACCACTGTCACTGGGCCAGATAATGTACTATTATTATTAATCACTAGCCCACATCTCAGTCTATAAATAATTTAAAAAAAACTTATTAGCCTATGTGTTCTTCCAAACTATGCTGTACATCTATGCGAAATTTCATCGAAATCCATTCAGCCATTCCGGAGATACCTTCAAATAAACATCCATCCATCTTAAAATTTGCATTTATGATAAGATTAGTAAGATTTGATGGGTTACTAAAAACCACTGATTTATTTTTAAAAAACAATTTCTTCTATAGAACAACATAAAGGTTATGCTTATTTTGTATGCATGAAAACATTAAAATGTTTGCCTTCACTTGCCTATTGTAAACAATGTTATTTACATATGTAAAGAAATTTTCTGTCTGAAGTTTGGTATGTTTCATGTCTGTATTGTTTTTATTTATCCACTCTTTGTATTATTAATGTATTTTTTAAGGCTGTTGATATGTGTATTATGTATAATGACTTCAAATTTAATTAAATTGTATATATGTCATAGTAATAAAGATTATTATCTAAAAGATAGACAGAACGTTGTCCAACCTTCAATATTGTCCCAGAAATCTAATTTATTTGGTACATTTTTCACTACCGGTTGCTAGAGTAGGTGTCAGGTTTAAATTTTTAAAAAGTCTGGCGACGTATAAAGGAAAATTCTCTTAACTTCATGGAGAACTAGATGTCGCCCGCGACTCTGTCCGCGCGGAATTAAAAAAACATAATTAGTAGCCCATGTGTTCTCTCAGACTATTTTTTGCATGTGTGCCAAATTTCATTAAAAGCCCGGTGACCCGTTGCCTTCAAACAAACATCCATCCATCCGATCATTCGGATTTATAATAAGAAAGATTTGGACTTAAAATCTTCATTGAAATATTATAATAAACGATAGCGCCATCTGTTAGAATCTTCTAACAAAATCTCAACTTTTACAAAACTTTCCAATAGATGGCGTTGTTACAAAACTTCCACAGTTGCCAATAAATATTTTAAAGTTAAAAAAAAAATGTTATAATGCTTAATAATGAATTTGCAACTTCACGTTGCAGTTTTTCGTACAATATATTGTATTTTTACTACCTATAAATCACAAACTAAACGTACGAAGTAAAACTATTTTTTTTAAATCATTTATTTTTCACATCCCCAACCACTACAACAGCTGATAGCTGTCAAACAAAGTTAACCTCAAAATTAATTTGATGTATTAATATTTTTTTGTTCTTGTTTCATAATATGAGTGGAAGGTTATTTCTTTCAATATTTAGTAATTATCCAAAGAAGTTATTAATCAATCACAGTTTTCAAAACAATACTAAATTAGTGTTAAGTGTATCAAATGTTAATATTCAGAAATACTGTACGAAAGCCAAAGTTAAAACGAAAGAAAAGAAACATTGTAATATTGGAACTATAGGTCATGTAGATCATGGGAAAACAACTCTAACAGCAGCCATCACTAAGGTACTATCAAAGGATGGGTCAGCACAATTTGTTTCATACGACGAAATTGACAAAGCGCCTGAAGAAAAAGCTAGAGGTCAGTTCTCTGTTGTTACGATGGTAGGTTAATAATGTAAACTAGTTTAATATAACAACTCCAAATTTCTCTAAAATAACATAGTCTTATACGCCTACTTCTGTCATATAAATATAATACCTTTTTGACTATATATCATTAGTTTTACTTGTAGTAGTAGTAGTAGTAGGAAACTTTTAAAGCAAGCAGACCCCATCATCATATGGTTAACTAGCAAGGGATAGAGAGAATTTACAGTTTTGGACAACCTTACTGTCATTTTCATATTTCATTTGCATATTCCAGGAATAACTATAAATGCTGCTCATGTGGGCTACAGCACTAAAACACGACACTACGCGCACACAGACTGTCCTGGCCATGCTGATTATATTCGTAACATGATATCTGGAGCATCGCAGATGGATGCGGCCATTTTAGTTGTAGCTGCCAATGATGGACCAATGCCTCAGACTAGGGAGCATTTGTTACTGGCCAAGCAAGTTGGCATTCAATATATACTTGTTTATATAAATAAAGCTGATATTGTTGATAATGAGGTTGGTACATACTAGCTGTTGCATGTACTTCCATCTGCATGGAATTAAAAAAAAAACTTAATTAGTAGCCTTCTTCCGGACTTTGCTAAATTTCAGCAATATCCATGCAGCTGTTTTGTAGATATCTTCTAACAAACATCCATATATTCATCTGATCCATCCATAAGTTCAATTTACAATATTTCCTAAGCCATTGGAACTTATTGGTTTTAAAATTGACTATTCTTGGCGATAGTTTGCTGGAATTTATTGGCTAAAATGTCTCTACTATCAATCTTACTAATATTATAAATATGAATGTTTAGATGAATGGATAGATATTTGTTTGAATGCATCTTTCGAACGGCTGAACTGATCTCGATGAAATTTGTCATACATATAGAACACAGTCTGGAAGAACACATTGGCATTATATTTTTTTTTTATACCGCGCGGGCGACCGCTATTCTTGAATACAATACAAATTATAAGTAAATTTAACTAATGATATAATCATTATTGAAACTGAGTTGAATCTCTAAATAATTTTCTGGTTTTCCAAACGGCTGTTTGAATGCTGTGTTTTTAATACTTCTATTATATTTTTTACAGCTTATAGAATTAGTTGAAATAGAGATGCGTGAAATGTTGACAGATTTTGGTTATGATGGCATCACTGTACCAATGATAATTGGTTCAGCTCTAAAAGCACTCAACGAAGATGATTCAGAGTATGGTAAGTATTTTAAAATAAATAAAATATTTATTTCCAGCCTCTCGGACAGGTCGTTGGGATTTACATATGTGCAGTCACCATTTTTTGCGGTATTCCTGTTTAAAAAAATCTTTGAACTATCCAACACTTTCATATTATAACTATATTTTCTTTTTATTTTAATGTTTTGATCTAGTACACACGAATTACTAGCTATCGCCCGCAACTCCATCCGCGCGAATTTATGTAGCACAGGTGTTCTTCCAGGCTATGTTTTACATCTGTACAATTTCATCAAGACTTGTTGAGCCATTCCGGAGATACCTTGTAATAAACAGCCATCCATCTTTCTTTTGTATTTTAATTAGTAAATTATGCAGTATAGTACCAGATTCTTGTATATTGTGGAGAATGCTATTGATAACTTATTTATTGACCTTTATTGTTTCAAGGCAATGGAGTACCACCAATCAACCTCACTATACCTTAGACTCTGTGTCATTCAGTTATTTATTTGTAGTATCTTTATTTGTTTTTAAAATGACCTATTATAATTGCAGGAATGCCATCGATAAGGAAACTATTAGATGCTATAGACAACTATGTGCCCTCTATCCAAAGAGATTTGACGTCACCGTTTTTAATGCCCATAGATAATGCATTCACAGTGCCTGGCAGAGGTACCGTGGTTGTTGGCACATTGAAGCAAGGTGTTATGAAGAAAAATGATGATGCTGATTTAATGGGATTCGGATTTAATATTAAAACTACCTTATCCGATATACAGATATTTAAGAAGAGTGTTACAGAGGTATTTATTTGTAGTACTAGCTGTCTCCCACAACTCTGTCCGCGCGGAATAAAAAAAACATTATAAGTCGCCTATGTTCTTCCAGAATATGTTCTGAATATGTACATAAAAAAATTGTTTTATACTTCTCCACATTAAAATTCATATTTTTTGTATGTCATATAATTGCTTTACCTATAGTTTGAAAACAATTTTTTTTTTAATTTTTGTATGACTGCAAGTAGCGTTTGTTCCGGGTAATCTCCAGAACGGCTGGGCCGATTTCGACGAGGCTTTCACTGGAAGGTAGCTAATGTGTGCGGCAATGTTTTGGCATACTGTTTATTTTTTTTAATTCTGTGGTCAAAGTCGCTGGTGTTCACTAGTGTATCAATATTATTTCCAGGCATTAGCGGGTGATAATGTGGGAGTATTGCTTCGTGGTTTAAAGTTGCGGTCAGTGGAAACTGGAATGTTGTTGTGTGCAGGGAAGAGCATGAAATTGAGCAATCATTATAAAGCAAAAGTATATTTTATGACGCGCGCCGAAGGAGGCAGGAAGAAGCCGATATTCTCAAAGTATTCACAGCAAATGTTCAGCGGGACTTGGAATATTGCTTGTAGAATTGATTTGGGTATGTTTTATTTATATCAGTCATCATATTATTGTGTCGGAGGTCTCATTTTAGTAATGTTTCCCTTGCCGTCCTTCTATGACAAGTGAATTCGACAGGGTAGAGGAAATATCCTCTTTCTGTCACCTCTTCCGTTAATTAAAGGTTGGCAACGCATCTGCAATAACAAATGTCTGTGGGCAGAAGTGGCTTCGCTATTTCCGCGAATTCAAGTGTCACTTTTTAATAAATTTGATTTGTTTTTTTTTTATTTTGGCACTTGAATTAGTTATTTTAAATATGAAAACATTTATGAGGTTTTTGGTTTGTTTACTGCCACTTATCCAAATTGCACAAAATATTTTTTTTTCATGTTCCAGAGCCGACAGTAGACATGATGATGCCTGGTGACCATGGTGAAGTCTACCTGACTCTTCTAGAAGGTATGGTTATGACGCCAGGACAACGGTTCACAATACGAGAGAACAATGTCACCGTTGCTACGGGCATTGTCACAATGACTTTGCCTTCTATTGACGTGCCTAAAGGGAAACTCGGCAAAGTTGTCAAGTTTGAAGAGAAATGATTGATATAGTATGTAGGTTGTTAAATAAATTATTAAAATTATTAGCTTTTTTTAAATCTTTAATTTTTTCACAAATTTATACAATAAACCTACTCCCAAGAGAGATTGTTTGTGAGGGCGTTGACTTTAGTAAATTAGCTGTCGCCCGCGACTACGTCTGCGCGCAATTAAAAAAACTTAATAAGTAGTCTAGGTGTTCTTCCAGAATATGTTCTACATCTATGCCAAATCCGTTGTGTTGTTCCGGAGATACCTTTAGAAACAAACATCCAAACATTCGCATTTATATTTGTAA